AAACTGATCGACTTTGGGGAAGGACAGACCTGGCCCGAATTGCAACCTTACCACTTGCTGGTTGTGTAACTATGGGCAAGTTTCTTAACTTCTTTGCACCCTGGTTTCCTTACCTATAAATGGGGATAATAAGAGCGTCCTGCTATTATAATAAAAATAAACGCAGACACAAGGCTAACTTGGCAGTGGTGTGCTCACCAGAGAAGGCAAAGGCGGGGCCTGCTTAATCCAACAAGGCCAGAGGACCCGAGTCCAGAGCCAAGTGTCTGGGTCTTCGAGCCTGGTTAGTCTAGCTCCCGGACCTGCCTGTGAGCGATCACTACAAATCCAATTTAACCATCTTCTACAGGTGATGAGTGGTCCCTGACCCCCCTCGAGACCATCAGCGTCTCTGTCAGCCACCCGGAGAAAACACTAAGCTTGTGAACCTCGCCTGTGGTTCTGATCTCTGGCTGATGCTAACTAACAAGTCGCTATATCTTTGAAATGACGGAGCAAAACTAAGTGATAATAAAAATTTCTATTTGTATAACTCTACAGTGTACCAAATGCTTGTGATTTAAATATATGACAGCAGTTACTCCACTAAATGCACTGGTGTTGACAGTGAAGACCAAGGACATAATTTACTGTTTACAAAGTACATCCTCAGACATTACCTCATTTGGTTCTCGCCACAATTCTCTGTTATTATTAACGCAAGTGAGGAAATCAAGGCCCAGGAGCCCTCCCTGTGCCAGGCCCCGGGTAAGGCTGTAGGAATACAGACAGGTGAGGCACTATCCATTAGAGGCCCTTCGAAGAGCTGGATGGATCCCGACCGCATCAGTCTCATTGACAGATGCTCCGCAAGGCTTCTCCCATCCAAAGAAGCCTTTAAAAAATTGCCTTCCTCTCATAAGCTCTTGGGTGGCAAAGGCAAAATTTCTCTTGCAATTTCAGCACAACATCCAGCTTTCTGTGTAGAGTTAATAAACAGACTGACGGGTAGTATTATTGATAGCCTGAGGGGAAGGAACTATGTTTTCTAAATTGGGAAAAACGTCCTTGGCTATAATCTACTTGGCATTTTCTATTATCTTTCTATTTAGAAGGGCACGTTTTTCAATGTCGTGGATAAGAGTGAGTGAGGACTTTATTTACATGATCAGAATAGAGAAAGAAATTGCTCTAGGTTATCTGGAATCTGATAAGTTCAGGCCACACAGGGAGCTGTGAGGGGCTGGAAGGACAGCAAGCCCTCGTGGAAAGGGGTATTCACAATAAATTCGGTAAGAGAAGTGTAAAATATCTCGGCTATGCATGGGACACCTCTGGAGGAGGAAGAAATCGGTTAACATTGGTGCCTCTAAGGAACAAAACCAGGTGACAGAATCAGGGGTAGACAGACACATATTTAATGTCTAACCTTTTGTGTCTTTCAAATGTTTTTTTTTTCATCATGCACATGAATTACCTAATTTCTGAAAAAAATTAAAGACATTACAATTTTAAAAATGTAACATACAAACAAAATAGTCTTTATGCAGCAAACCGAACATACTTGTTAATCTGGACAGCTGTGTTCCTGGCACACACCAGATGCTCAGTTTGTTGAACTTAATGGACCTCCCCTTAAAGTCAACAAAAGAAAATCAGAAACCGGGCAAATCCAAGGGTCTCAGTGTTCCAATTCTCTAGTAAGCTCTTCATCTATCTGCTACTTAAGAATTACAAAAGATCAGAGAATGAGTTCTTGTGTAACAAGCCTTGCACCCAACTGGTCCAGATGCACACGCTTCAAGCGAAACAACAGGTCTGTTCACCTATCCACACCAGCCATTTTGTAAACAGAAAACGTTTAATATGAAAACATGATGCCCTGAAACCAAGACAACAAAAAATAAAGGTGCAGATATGAAAACAATCCCACGCTGCAGTAGAAACCAGAATACCGTACGCAGTAGGTCAAAGAGTTCTGCCACGTGGAGTTCCATTATACTGGAAGTCTATCTCTGCTAGAGCTTTTCAAAGAGCCAGGTTTTGGACAAAACATAAGACAAATTTTTCCCCTGTCTTTCACAGGACTAAAGAAATATTATGTGCTCTGGGCAAGGGCAGTGGAGAACCACTACACTCTTTGTGGGCCCTGCCAGAGATTACCAGGAGGAAGGTGTAAGTGAAGAAGTAAGGGCTAACAGTGAGAAGACCTTTCACCAGGACCTTATGAGAAAAGAGAACAAGACAGAGAGAAAGGGACCCATTATCAACACACAAACAATGCAGTTAAAGCAGTTATTCGAAGACGGCTGAGCTCTGGAATGTCCTATACAAAAAAAAAGTCAAAACTCAAAATCAACTCTTACGAAGCTACCAGTCAATAAATAGGGATAATCTTTGGTTCATTCTAGAAAACACAGAGAAGGGAAAACCAAAGATGACTGGATTCCTGCAAGAAAGAAAAAGGTGACAGGTATTTCTCAATTAAAAGGGAACTGGTTGGCGAACGGAGAATAGGTGTGTATCAAAACCGGGAAGGTGATAAAGGAAATGAAGGTGAAGGTAAAAAGGAAAGAAAGAACTTTCCCAGCCGAAACAAGAGGAAAAGACCGTTCCACGGCACTCGCCATCTGGTTTATTTCAATCTCAAAAAAAGAACTGGAAAAATGCAGAAAAACCAGTGAACAAGCTAGATTATCAACAAGAATCAGTCACACACTTGTGTGTCTGCCGGCAAGGCAGGCGCTGCTGGTGCTCACCCTGATCGAATGACTAAGTAACTTGCTTAAATGCATCTGACACACGATCCCTGAACTTCTGAAAAGCACTTATTACAGTGGCTCATGAAATCTTAATCTAAAAATGTTCATCCATTTATAATCAAGCTACATCACACTGACAACTGGGAAGGAGGGCCGAACAGACGGAAGAGATATTCAGAAGGATTCCGCGGAGATTGGTATCATCAGGACTTTATCACTTTGAGGGATTCTCCCCACCCCTTTTAAAGAGAATAGAAGAGATTTGGAATCTAAAAAGAGTGCAATTGTTAGGAGAGGACCAACAGAGAAATGAATTACTTGATTCAATAAAAGAGAAAAATAAATAAGAAATAAAATGCAGTGTGACTTGGAAAACCCCACTGACATGTGTTGCAATAAAATCTGGAATACATTTAATGAATTGCAGGGGAGAAGGCAGAGAATAAAATAAGCTCCTGATAGAAAATATTGGGTAGTAGATATGAAGAAAAACTGTATAAAGGGGTAAGAGAACATCGTATTTAGCAAATCTATAGTGGTGACTGTGTGCCAAGCACTGTTCCAGTGTTTCAGATAGTAAGTCATGTACTCCTCAAAACAACCTTCTACTGTTAAGTACCATTACATTCTCACTATATATGAGCAAACAGAGGTAAGGAGAGGTTAAGTCACTTGTCCGAGGTTATGGCTAGTAAGAAGCGGATTCAAATCCAGGCACTATGATCCAAAGTCTCTGCTCACAATCTCTCTGGACTCCCCTAGAATTTAAACACCAAGAGTAAGATAAGTAAGCTGGGAGTGAAATACAAGTCATATACTCGCTAGATCCAAGGTCAACAGATCATCCCTCAGTCACAGCTGTGTGATGGCCAGTCAGCCCTGTGATCTCCCCAGGCCTTAGCTTCCTCACCTGTGTACTGAGAAGACAGATTAGATGAGCTCTAAGTTGGCTTCCACTCTAACATGCTACAAGTCTACACTCTACATGGACTGGTCTGCTTTCTGGCCAGTTATTCAAAGGTTAATTCGCCCTAAAATGGGCAGCGAGTGGTGTTAAAAGTTCTTTCTCCGCCTCATGACCTTCAAAAGATTACTGTGTCCTATTCAGGCAAACGACAGAGCATAGTCAAGGGGTACTGTACGGTTTCTCTTTTGGACCCTACTTAATGTGGTTGTAACAAAATGGCCCTCGAAAAGCTCTGGGCACAGATCACATTAATTCTGCCACACCTACAGTCTCCTCAGGCTCCTCTCATGAACCTGTCCTTGGGACCTGTGTCAAATCCAGTTAATGGAATACCAGGGAAACTGACAGTTAAAAGAGAGGAACTGGGGGGATTAAGAGAGGCAGTCCAGCAGTTCAAATTAAAGAGTTTCATGATGGCTAAAAAAGCCATACCTTCTTGGTATAGTCCATTCTCTTTGCTAACACCCACTCTGAGAGTGGAGACATCAAAATTCATTACGGGTGAATTCAACACCCACTTCCTAACTAACGTACCCCCAGAAGTATCCTTCTCAAGCTAGGCATTAAAGGTCACCCACTCCTCCCTTGGGAGTCCTTTCTAAGCATCCCTGACAGGTGGCTGTCATCTGGCCTCTGCCTGGACACTTCCAAGGTCGAGGCGCTGACTGCCTCATCTGGCAGGCAGCCACCTGAGATGCTGGACAGCTCTCGTTATGGGGAAAGCCCACGAAGCGCCTAGAACAGTGCCCTGCACGGGGATGAGCTTGGTAAGCGCGCCTCCAAGTGGGTCAAAAGCTGCCTCCCTATAACTTGAACCCATCAGTCCTGGGTGCGCCCCTGGAGCCGTGAAACGCAGAGGCCCTTCGGATATCCGGAGCTGTAATCAGGCCCCCTGGCTCTCTCTTTCCAGGTGCTAATCCGGACCGCCATCACCAAGCTTGGGCCAGCAGAACCTCCTCAGACCCCAGGGTCCCAAGAGTGCACACCGATGGAGGGATGGCCGGCAGAAAGGCCTCAGTCGGGGATGTCCCCAACCTTGGTACCTCAGTACAAAGGGCTTTCAGGAAGGCGTATCCCATCTGCTGCGGTCCCGGGTGCCTCCCTCCACGCCACTTGGAGAGCCGGCCCTTGGGACCCCCGCGGCGCCAGGTGACAGGCCCCGGAGGATCCGGGCGCGCAGGCAGAGGCGCGATGGGCCGAGACACGACGAGAACCGCAGGGCTCAGGGGTTTGGCCCGGTGGATCCGGGGCGCGATCCCGGTGTACCGGAGCTCGCGGGGCCGCGGCTTTACCTCTGCGTGGTTGACTACAGCTTCCCAGCTCGCTCTCCGTCCGGTTCCTGCAGCTCCGCGGCTGCCGGCGGCGTTCATGGAAATGCAGCCGGAACCCCTGGCCAGGGCAGCTCCCGCCGCTACCGGCCCCGCCCAAGCAACTGCCGCCACACCCCTGACGACCGCTCCTTCCACGCCCCTAACCACGGGAACCCGCCCGTTCATTGGGCGGCCCAGCCGCTGCTCTACTAGCTTGCGCTCTCATTGCACCCCCAGAGGATAGCCCATTGGTCGGCAGAGCTGTTCTTCAGAGTGAAGGCGGAGCTCTTAGAGAAGACAATTGGTTACTTTTGACGTCTTTAGCCCGTAGGCCAAGATCCGGAGAGGGCGGGGAAAAGGGAGGAGAGCTAAACCGTGGGCTGTGTTTGGTGTTCACGCGCTCAGGGTGCGGAGAAGCTGACAATTGTGACCTCAACCTGGTTTGGGGGGTTGGGTAAGGTCAGTTGTCGTCTGATAGTGTAAGGAGGGAGGCCTGCTGGTAGCTCAGCTGCGAGATCTGATGGCTCTGGGTCGAACGACTGACTCACCAGTTGCCAAGGACACGAAGTGGAATTTGGGGTCCTGCCCCGGGAGAAAGCGGGGAGGAAAGTGAATGACCAAGCTGCAAGGAGAGACAAGGATGTGGAAGCAGCGGCCT